ACCCCTCCCAAACAGAACTCCACCCCCTTCTGGAAACGGTTAACACGCTTGTCTCCAACCCAAAGGTTGGTGGTTCAAGGCCTGCCAGGGGTGCCTTGGAAGAAAGGCCTGGTGATCTATGTTAGAAAGAGCAGCTAGTGACATTCCCAGGGAGTGCACCATTCCGCTGTGAAACTCACGGGGCAGGGGTGGGGCGGGGTGGCAGAGGAGGGAGAGTCTTGGATGAGAGCTCCCCTGCCGGCCTCGGTTGGGTTTTGCTGTGGTTTCAGGGAGTCTACAGGAGGCCTGTGGGGCCATGGTGTTGAGTTGGGTGGCCATCAGCAAGGTCAGCGGTTCGATACCATGAGCCTCTCCTCCAGAGAAAGATGGGCTTTTCTACTCCAGTAAATCATCTCAGTCTTCGGAAGCTCACAGGGGCAGTTCGACCCTGTCACTGTGCGTCGGCAGGGAGTTGATTGGCAGCGAGCTTGGTTTCGAGGGGTTTTGTAGATAATCCTTGTCAGCAGGATCATGCAACACACATCCTTTTGTGCCTCATTTCTCCTGGCAACATGGCTTTGAGGTTCATCGATGTTGTTGCTCTTATCAGAACATCGCTCTTGCTTAAAAAAAATTTTTTTAACGGCCAAATAATATCTCATGGTATGTACAAAGAGGGTTCAAAAAGTCTCTGGAAAATGTCCATTGTCTTTCGATTCCAGTGTCCCACACACTTGTCGAAGCTCCCTTGCCACACCAAACTGTTCATCTTGTCATCTCCTGAAGGGGTCGGGAGCTGCTTGCCTTCCAGCGCTAGGAATAGTGGGGGACAGCTACTCATGTGAGCCTCTGCTTTGAGTTCTTCGAGGTGCGCACCCAGGCGTGGAGTTGCTGGGCCAGCCGATAACTTGATGCTTCACTACGTGAGGCACCAGCAACGGGTCAGATGAGGGTTCCCGTGTCTCCACGTCCTCGCCAGCGCCTGCTGTTTTTCTTTCTAATAACAGTCGCCGTGTGGGTTGCGGTGGGGTGCTGTCAAGTCCACGGACAGCCGAACAAAGCATTGCCAAGTCCCGTGCCACACTTGAGCCCATGGGTCCAGGTGCTGAGTCCTGCCATCTTGTGGAAGACCTTACTGGGTTGTTTTCTTTTCCAGTTTTAGCGAGTACAATGGAATCCTTGACGACCCCATTATTTTCTCGATCATTGCTTATTGGGTCACTTGACTCTCCTGGTAAGATGCCCAATGCACTTCTGAGGAGCTTCTAGAGCATTCTGCTCTACTTCTCCCAGCAGAGATCCCGCCTCCTTCTGGCGGCCCCAGGTAGGGTCAGCCTTCCTCACCACCACCAGCATTCACAGACATCCCTTTGGTCGCCTCGCTCACTGTCCACCTTTTGCGGACCTGTGAGGTGACTGAAAATACCACGGCTTGGGTCAGGCGTGCCTGGGGGGGTAGTGCCTTTGCTTTTGAGCCCTTTCAAAGGGCCTTTTGTAGCCAGCTTGCCCAGTGCGATGCACCCTTTGGTTTCTTGGCTGCTGCTTCTACGGATGTTGACGGTCGATCCGAGGGCAATGGAATCGCCGCCCACTTCCGTATTTTCTCCGTTATTAGGATGTTGCTTTTGGAGCCTCTTGTGAGGGTTTCCTTTTCGCTATGTGAACGTGGAATCTCTCCAGAAGGCTGTGACCTGGGATCTTCCTCAGGGAGTATTCCCGTCCTCGTCACGTGCAGCATGGCCAGGGTCCTCCGCATGCCGGGGTTGTTCCGCAGTGTTCCCCAAACCCTGACGCGGTGTCCTTCACGCGGCCCAGAGAAAGTAAGTCGAAAGGACCGAAAGGTGACGCAAAATCATCCTGGTTTTAAACCACTGTATTAACCTGGGTATTTTAGAGAAACAAATCCACAGAAACTCAAGTATAAGAGAGAGTTGTATAGAAAGGGTAAGTGCACATCAAGAAAACATCCCAAGCCAGTGCTGCCCTTACCCACAAGTCCAACATTAACCCATTAACCCATATGTCCAACACCAGTCCATAAAGTCCTCCTCCATCTCACAAAACACACGCACTGATGCCGACTGCAGGAGGAAAGCCGAATCAGTGAATGTGTAAGCATCTCAGCACTGGCAGGGGTCTCCACACGGCTGCTCCAGCACCCAGGGCTGCATCGGGGTAGGTCCATGTGGCTTCTCCTCCGGGATGCCTTGCAGGAAGTGAGCCTTGCCAGCTGAAGCAGGGAACTGGCTAAGGCAGCTGCACCCATCAGAAAGCAAGAGACCCGAGAACTTGAAAGGTGAGGCTCACCGAGCCATTTATCCCTCCGCCCTTCAATTAACCCCACGTGTGTTCATTGGCCAGGTTGGCACAGTAAGCTACCTCAACCACACCTGAGCCCCTTGTTCTGGCCAAGTGACTGCCTCAGGTCTGTGCACAGGCTCCGCATGAGCACACCAGGTGTGCTGAGATCCCCATTCTTCACAACGCTCTCCCTAGTTTGTTTTGACCCACACAGTGGAATGCCTCGGCATAGTTCAGGAAACAGGTGAACGCCTGACAGGTCTTTGCTGCTTTCAGTCACGATCCGCCTGCTATCAGCAATGGTACCCCTCATTCTACATCTGTGGTCGAATGGGGTTGCCAGCCCCCCCCCACTAATCACGGGTTCAGTAGGCACAATTGTACAGTTGAGATAATATAATATATCATGAGAGATAGAAGAGAGAGTCAAAAAATGGAGCCCGACACATTTCATGGTAGCATGCTCACCTCCTGGATGGCCATGATCTTACCGGCCAGGTCCGCACACAGCGTGGGCCGAGGCGAGGTGGGCCAGGGGCCCAGCAGAATGCTCGAGGACCCCGTTTATTGCTGACCAAGGGTTGTATCTACTTCGGGGTGTGTGATTGCAGGTAACCACACGTCACAAGAAGGGGCAGTACAATAGGCATAAGCGTGACAGGAAGGGGATGAGCTAGGGGCGGGCACATAGGAATGGGAGGGACTAGAGGTACACATGTGACAAGAAGAGCAGACCCTAGATTCATGATGGCAGCCTAACCCTGGTCACCCTTGGGTGGGCTTGACCTCTCTGGGGTCTCCTACAAGGAAACAGTCAACTACTATCCTTATCAGAAGGGAGTGGGCCCGACTTGTTGTGGGATAAACAGTGGTAACTGCTTGCTCTAGATGGCTGTAACCCTTAGGGAGAATAACCCCTGATCTACTCCTGTTGACCTCCAAGTGCACAGTCATTCGCAAGCAGCTAAGTTTGGCATGTATTTGGGGGAGACAACTTGGGAGAAATCCTTCTGTTTCTCACATACATCTTCTGAACCTGGCTCGACTTCCTGGCACTTCCGTGTCTGTGTACCGCTGCCACGATTTTTTAATTACCTTAGCATAATTTTACTTGCGTGTGATAGGAATGAGATCGTTCAGTAAGTTTTGCATTCTCCTGGAACACCTCTTCTTGTAACGAGTAAGAGCATGCCTCCTATCGCAACACTTGTCTTTGCATCAGAACACGGGTGGACCTCCTCCCACCAGTTGGCCGGGGCGCTGTCTTCCAAACGGCCAGGCGTAGATGAGTGTGCCTCTCCAGCATGAGGTCTCTCATGGTGGCTTTGATGGAAATTCCCTAATCACTCATGCATCACAGCACCTCTCGCATGTGCTCGCCAGTCTTC